AAAAAGATTCCAGAACTCACATATGTCATATAACCCGCCTTGCCTATCCTACAAGGTTCCAATCTGAAGCAATAGTGGTAGGTTCTGAAATAAGAATGTCACATGGGCTCAGTTAAATCAAACTAAAGGTTCTTTTCCCACAGGGGCCAACCAAAAAAGAACCCAAGAGTAATTGCCCTCTCTAATTCACATCCCATCAAACTGCCCCGATGGTGGACAGTATAACCGTGAAAGCTCAAGATGTTGGAATGTATTTATTGTTTGCTTGGGCTTTTATGCCATAGAGAAATTTGGGATTGGGGCTCCATAAAAGGTTAATTAAGCAAGTAAACAAATAATACTTGGTCATTTGCGACACTGCACCATTCTTTATAGCAGTGGTTCAAAGTTTCCCCCAGAATTTTTCCAGAGAGTCTACAAAATTAAATAAGTGAATATTTTAAAACCTCTTGGTTTTTATGTCTAATACAGTACATATTCATAGATATAACCCACATAAATTAAAAGATGCTTGCTCCTGGGGAGGAAAGCTGTGGCAAATCTAGACAGCATACTAAAAAGCAGAGACATCACCCTGCCAACAAAAGTGCGTATAGTCCAGGCCATGGTTTTCCCAGTTGCAGTGTATGGCTGTGAAAATTGGACCATAAGAAAGGCTGAGCGCCAAAGAATTGAGGCCTTTGAACTATGGTGCTGGAGAAGACTCCTGCGAGTCCCTTGGACTGCAAGGCGTTCAAACCCGTCAGTTCTAGAAGAGATCAACCCCGACTGCTCTTTAGAAAGCCAGATCCTGAAGTTGAAACTCAAATACTTTGGCCACCTAATGAGAAGGAAGGGCTCACTGGAGAAGGGCCTAATGCTGGGAAAGATTGAGGGCAATAGAAGAAGGGGACGACAGAGAATGAGATGGCTGGATGGAGTCACTGAAGCAGTAGGTGTGAACTTAAATGGACTCCAGAAGATGGTAGAGGACGGGAAGACCTGGAGGAATGTTGTCCATGGGGTCGCGATGGGTCGGCCACTACTTCGCAATTAACAACAACAACAATTTGTGGTTATCAATCATCTTTAAGAATCTAAAGGATCCTGAGACCAAAATATATGAGAACTACTCTTTATAGTATGCCTTATGCTTAAACGAAGCAAACTAGAGTTGCAAGAATTCTCCCAGGATTAGGATCGTCATAGGAAGAGTAAAGTTGCAGTCAGACTCCTGTTCCTCAAAATAGTAGAGATCTTTCTCAACACCTCATTCTAAATGCCAAAATAAGTCTTGTAGGTATTGCATAAAAAGGGACTGATTTGTATTACAGCCTTGTGCTTGCTCAGCTCTGCCTATACATCCTAAATTGCAGGGTGACCTTTATACTGCTTTTAGCATTCAGGATGCTTTGTTATCTTTCTCATTATGTGTCATGGGTCTTTTTTTAAAAAAAATAAAAATATCCAGGTATTGAAACTGCTCAAAGCTATCAATAGGTAAATTGAAACAGAACGCACCCACCCCCAATTTCCAACGTTCGAAAACTAAGCTTTCCCATATGAAGCTACCATGTTGTATTTTTCCCTAACCATCTTTGAAAACTAGCTCATCTCTATCATTTAGTATACAAGATACAGTAATGTCCATGTGCTATTCTGATGATGGATGGATGGATGGATGGATGGATGAAAAAATAAATTATCCTGAAGTCTGATGCATGAAAGTCTAACCTTGCTAGATTTCTCTAAGAGCTATTTTACTGCAGTCCCAACTGACTGTTGGTGCCCATCTTGGATTTATTTTGGATTTTATCCTTGCTTTTTTTGTTTTGTTTTTTCTGTTGTCTTTTGTTTTTTATGACTATTTGGGATGATAACGGTGATGATTTTGCTTTGTTTGATGTATGCTGCCCAGAGTCTTTGGAACTGGGGAGGGTTATGAGTACTGATAAATGAATAAATCAGTGTTGGGGATGTAATTGTTTGTAAAAAAAAAAAAAGGAATGTAAAAGTGTTGGATGCTATTGGAGTACACGTGTAAGAGAAAAGTAGACAGAGCCTGGAGATATACTTAAGAGAGGACTCAGCCTAGAATCCTTAGGTGTCCACAAATGCTCCAAGACCCTTGAATTCCATTAACTAGCACCAATTTAGGGCTGACACCCTTAGTCGACCAGATTCTTGTGTATAGGCATGAGCACTTATTCAGCTTAACTGGAATTTAATGTGTGGTTCTGATCCTACACACCTGGTAACATGTTTCTCTACCTATGTTAATTGTATTTAGGGGAATCTGGTTTCTGTCTTTCATTTCCTGAAGTTGGCTTTTGTCTCTGTTTGCCAAACATACAGGCCTGGAAGCTTGTCAGTGCAATGCATCAGTGACCTTATATAAAAGCGATAATGTTTCTGCCAGCAACGTGTCTACTAACTATCCTATAGCATTGCCAGAATGAGCTGAAAACCTGTCAAAATATTCAGTTGCTTGCAGACTGTAATTTCTGGATTTTCAGCAATGAAGGCTTTTATCCACTGCTAAATTTTCTGCTCATCACAGTTCTTTCAGTTGACAGAAAACTGCACACCAGGATATTTATTGCCCTCATTGCCAGTCTCTATTGCAGGGGTAGTCAACCTTGGCTCTTTTATGACTCGTGGACTTCAACTCCCAGAATTCCTGAGCCAGCTAAGCTGGCTCAGGAATTCTGGGAGTTGAAGTCCACGAGTCATAAAAGAGCCAAGGTTGACTACCCCTGCTCTATTGTCTCTATTCCCAATAACAGCTCCTCACCTAAGTTCCCCCCAAGGTCTAAGAGACTCTACATACCTTGAGGCTTCCCTTATCTGGCAAAATAAGAAAGAAAACATATCTTTAACATTGGTCAATGTAAGCTTATTTCTGGGGACTAAGAGTAGGGAATGTCATGTGAGCATATTACTAGAGGCTGTTTGTGCCTTGATTAATTGTAAATAGGGAAAGTCCACAAAAGCAACCTGTATTGACATGTTGCACAGATAGCGTGGGGAGGATTGATGTCACAAAATGCATATAGGCAGCATTCCAAATAGCCTGCAAGTTGTTTTTGATCATGATTGAGTTGTACTGTTCCTCCAGTCCCCAAAATGACTGTGGGGCACAACCATGAAAAGAAAAGGCGTTGGCTGTGTATTTTTTAATAGCAGTAAGAATTATTAATGTGCATGAGGTCTTCTAAACCAGTGGTTCTTAACCTTTTTGAAAGAATCGCCCCCTTGAGCCAATGAGGAAGTTGTCATCGCCCCCCTCCCCCAACATAACCTCCCAATCACAACATAGGAAATAATTCTTCAACTTATGCAAACACTTTTTTTATTTTCTTTAAAATTGTCATCAGGACATATCGATGCAAATAATTTATTTCCAGTCTTTTTCCCATATCTCAACTGTTTGAAAAATTTTGGTGCCACCCCTCACTTTATTCCCAAACTTCGTGATACATGTATTTCATTATTATCTTATTTATTCAAGACACTTAAATGTAATGACCACTGAAAACAAAATTCAATTGCAAGAAAGTGAAATGCCCGAAAAGAAAAACAGTAACATTTAATGATTGAATTACAAGTGAAATTTAAGGTGCAAAAAGAAATATAAAAAGGGTAGAGGCTGCTGCGCAACGCGCATGAAGATAAGTGATGCGTATTCACATATGTACGGCGTTCTGTACTGAAGCTAGCTGGAGGAACATTTGAAAACACAGTTCAATCCACTAAGAGCGGGCGATCTGATGTTTTTGTATGACAGATATGCAGCTGTTCACTGTACGAAAAAGTCTCAAAAGCGTCCCCAAAACTTCTCTCTCCATCACCCCCATATCGCCCCCTTTTCGTTCCTTCGCCCCCATGTCGCCCCTTTTCATTCCATCGCCTCCTTGAAAAATGAAATCACTCCCTGGGGGGCAGTATCGCCCAGGTTAAGAACCACTGTTCTAAACAGTACCTCTGGCTTCATGTTCTTCTTGATTGAAGAAAGTCACTGTGAAGCCAAAAGAGTTCTTTAAAGGCAACTTCAAAATTAAAGTTTTTGAAGATCAGCAGCTGGACTGCAATCCAGCTGGAATGCCTTCGCCATGTCAAGTGTTCCTCTTTCTTCAAACATTTGTTGGCTGTTAAATCACTCTCGCCCCAATAAACAATAACCCTTAGGAAACGCGTGCTGTCATCTTCTCTCATTCTTCAGTTAAGCCTACCAGTTTACTCTTACCTATACTCTAATGCAGGGCTTTTCAACCCGTCGTACGGGTACCACCTGTGGTACATTGGCACCTGGCAGGTGGTACGCAGCCATCCTAGAACAGTGGTAGCGGGGGAGGGGAGTGACGGTGGCAGCATCGCACAAGCCTGAGCAAGAGATGGCTGGAGCTGCAGGGCTGTCAGGGCTCAGTGGAAATGCCAGGATCAGCGCCAGGCTCCACCTGGAGCTCGGTGCTGATCCTGGTGCTTCTGCTGAGCCCAGAAAAAGCACCAATCAGCTGGAATGTTGCAGCATCTCCAGGGTCTTGTGATTAACATTCAGATGCTTGGCAACTGATTCATATTTATGACGGTCACAGTGTCCCAGGGTCATGTGAAGTGACCAAAACCTGCTGCAACCACCCAGCAGATGGGGGGAATAAAAACCAAACACCCCCACCCCACCCCCGCTGTCAATCTTCAACAGAAATGCTCACAACAATGAAAACCTCGGACAGGAGGAAGAGCGCCACCGGGCAGGCAGGCAGGTGTCTTGCTCGGCTGTGGCTTGGGGGGCACTTTTTTCAATGCCATTGTAACTTCTAAGAGTCACTAAGCGAACTGTGGTAAGTCGAGGACTACCTGTGCTTTATCACTTTTTTCCTTTTTTGGGGGGGGTCATCACGTTTTTGACACCTTGCTAGGCGACTGGTGGTTCTCGGATGTTGCCCTATCCTAAAAGTGGTACAATGGGTGAAAAGGTTGAAAAGCCCTGCTCTAATGTGCTTACTATTCTGCCTTTACAGTTATACTGACCGATGAAGAGGTTCAGAGGAAAAGAGAGATGATAATGAAGAGGAAGGAGGAGGAAGCTCTTAAGGAAAGCCTAAAGCCCAAATTGCTGGAGGAACAACAACGAGTTATTGAAACTCTTCTTGAAGCCCATCGCAAAACTTATGATCCTACTTATTCAGATTTCACTCAATTCCGGGTAAGTTCTGCTTGCTTTTTTTTTTTCTTTTTCTTTTTTTTTTTTTTTTTTGCCGTACTTTACTATTGTTGTGAGTAGTAGGACATCTGCTGGTGAACAAACGGATATTTTTCAACTATGTCACTTCTGAATTAGCAATTCAAACTCTTGCCCCACTTTCCACTTAACAAAAGTAACATTGCTTGCAGATTCAAATCATTAAACAGTTGATTATCTATATAAATAAAAATGTAAATGTCCGTTTGTTGAAAATCTTAAATCTCCGAAAGTTCTTCACCGATTGCTTTGAAATTTTGACACAACGTTGCATTCGAATATGTGTGTGTTTTTATATACCTATATTATATGGATGTCACACTTGTGACAGGTAAAAACATGCTTTTTTTCAAAAACAGCGCCATCTGTTGGACGTAAAAGCAACACATGCTACATGCGCTTTCTCTTTTCTTTCTTTTCCATTTAACCAGACTGAGCCAAAGCAACGCGTGGCCAGGTACAGCTAGTAAATAAATAAAAAACGAACAAACAAAAACTGAAAGGGCAGCCTTGATGGACCACTAGGTCTTTTTCTGCCATCGGTTTTCTGTGTTTTTATTATGAAAGAACCATTCAGTGTGTTTTATAATTTGGATCTGTGTCCCAGATTGAATCTCTCTAGCCAAGTCACCAGATTTAGAACTACTCCAGTTGAAAATTATTTTCCCACTACGTTAGCATGAAATACATCTGTAAATAGGCCACAGTTGGATTTACAACTGCACTGCTTGGAGAAATTACTAAGTGTATTTTTGACTAGACTTCAGTTGGCGATAGCTGTGCATTATGTGCGCTGCCCCATATGGCTTCATCACAATCTGTCATTAAAAATGTACTTGACAGAACAAAAGAAGAGAATGTCCCCTTAAGCAGAGTTGAATAACCAAGTGGTTATGGACCCCATTGTTCTATCTGTCCAACCTGCCTTTCTCAGCCACACACAAATCTTTGAACAATGAGGTTTATTAATTCTGGGGGGGGGGGGGAGGAAGAAGAAAGTACTTGTGGCTGTAGTGTTTCCTGCCCCGTCACAAGAGCAAAATAGCTTTGAGGTTGAGTGATGCACATGAGGCATTAGGAGAACAGCTGAGATAGATGGAAGAAGTAGAAGAAAGAGAACTGGCTGTGGATAACTCATAGTTACTCATAGTTTTGAAAACTTGGGGTTAGTTACTCTTGTTTTTGTGATATTTCCCAACAGACTTCCTCTTACTTCTCTCTTATTAGTTTATATTTTCTGAGCAAAACCAGTATTTCCAATATAGGAAGATTAGCCTCTAATACAGTGGTTCTCAACCTGTGGGTCGGGACCCCATTTGGGGTCGAATGACCATTTCACGGGGGTCACCAAACGATGCTGTCCGCCATTTTTTTCCCTTTTCCCTAGCTGTCCTACTCCCTCTTATTGGTGGCCACACCCACTTGGGGGTCACCACAACATGGGGAACTGTATTATGGGGTCACGGCATTAGAAAGGTTGAGAATCACTGCTCTAATACCTTCTGCTTTCTCCACCTGAAGATTGAATAGATGCAACCAAATGCATTTTACCTTCAGCCAAGAGACTGAACATACATTTTTTTCCCAAGGTTATTATGCAAATGACATAGCAGTTGCAGGGACTATTTGCTTCAGAATATCCTGCTTTCTTAAGTAATCAAAAATGTTAGGGCAGCATAGGAGAAGGAAGGAGCATTAGGCATGTTGTCTGCCTTGAGTTATTTATAAAAATAGAGATTAAAACATTTAAAATCATGGGATATCAGAGCAGACGAGTCTTCTCTTCGGTGGTGGTTCTAAGAAATGGGTCCCTGGCATTGGAAAACACTTAGTAGACTGGGATAAACGGAGGTAGAGCGGGTAAAAGCCTCAGGGCACCCTTCTCCTTATAGCAAATGATCTCCATTAATGAACTAACTTTCTAGTAACTAGAATCGGGATGAAGGTATGAAGAAAGCAGTAGGCTCCTATCAAATGCTACCCTTTCTATTTCTATTTCAGCCTCCTGTAAGACAAAATTCAAACCAAGAACACAGAAGTCGATCTTCTTCTAACATGACCCCAGGTTTTTCCTTCTCAGATGATTCTTCAGATACTTCCAGCTTCTCTTCAGGTAACATGCAGAGTGCTAATCATCTTTATATTCATGGCAAATGGCAAAAATCCTAACAGCTACGTTTGTTTTAAATGGCAAATTCTATGGTTGCCTTTTTTTGTACTGATGGAAGTTTTTTTGTGAAACGTTTACAACAAATCTTAACTTGCAGCTAAGTAGCCTGTGTCTTGTTTCGCAGCACTTAAGGCAGTGGTGGCGAACCTATGGCACGCGTGCCAGAGGTGGCAGTCGGAGTCCTCTCTGTGGGCACGCGCGCCATGCCCCGGAGATGGTAACCGTCCTCTTCAACCAGCTGCCTGCTAACTTGCCCGGCCCCCAGAGGCGTCCCTCCCCAGGAGCAACATCGAGCTGGCCATGCCCACCCTGGCCACGCCCACCCATCTGCCATGACCACTGTAGCCACGCCCACCCGGCGGGCGACACCCACCCGACACCCGGCAATGCATAAGTGGGTTTTGGGTTGAAATTTGAGCACTTGGTCTCTAAAAGGTTCACCATCACTGGCTTAAGGGCAATTTATTAATCTCTCCCCCTCAGAAGACCTAACGTAATCCTATGAAATTTAGGGTATTCCTATTCAGAGAGTTCTTAATGCCAAACTGCCTTGTGTAACCACTCCGATTTTTTACTGATGTGATGGAAAAATAAAAGAAAGTGTAGGGAAAGTCAGAATGTGTTCTATAACAAGGGGGGCCACGATAAATGCTGCCTCTGGCTTCATACCAAAATGCCTTGTGAGGACACTTGAACGTGGCCAGCGTTCCATCTGCATAACCTTCAGAGCTGTTCCTGCAGAGCCTGTAATTGGACCAGTCACAGCTTTTGCATGAATGGGGATCTAGCCTGTCCTTCTCCTACCTGAACAATAAACAAGTGTGGCAACTGAGAGTCAGTCAGGAGCATTTTCCTTGTTGTGCTGCTTTTACTTACAGTGCAGGAGGGAAAAAGAAAGCAGCACCACAGTCTTGTGTGAAGGCTATGGCACATGAAATGCCTGAATGAGAGAATGAGGCATTGGGAGCTGGGAGGCGAAGATTGGTGGGGATTTCTGCCAGTAGAAAAAAACAAGACTCATCCATCGCAATCCTATGAAGTTGACAGTGCTAAAATCTTAGCGTGAATATTGTCTTTGAATGTACATTTATTTATTTATTTATTTATTTGTAAAATTTATTTGCCGCCCAATCCCTAGGGACTCAGGGCGGCATACAAAATTAAAACAACAAGTATAACAATTAAAAATGAATACATTCACACAGCGTGTCCCAATCGAATCCCGCCCCCCCCCGGGGACATCAACCCCAGGCCTGCCGGAACAGGAAAGTTTTAATAGCTTTCTTGAAGGCTGGCAAGGTGGGAGTAGTTCGAATCTCAGGGGGAAGTTGATTCCGCCACATCGGAGCCACCACAGAAAAGGCCCTTCCCCGAGGACCCGCCAGCCGACATTGTCTGGCCAACGGGACCTGAAGGAGGCCCAATCTGTGGGACTTCACCGGTCTCTGGGAACTATGCGGCAATATGCGGTCCTGTAAGTAACCTGGTCCTATGCCATGAAGGGCTTTAAAGATGCCCTTCCTAGGCACTTGGTGTGTCTTTGTTGTATTGGGGAGTTTGGCACAGAATGTTTTATCTCAATGTTACCCAGCCAAAATCCATCAGGATTGACATGTGATGTAAACACTGGAGATAAATAGATAATGTTGAATATTTAGGAAGATGATGCAGAAAAAAAGTCAGCTTGGCTTGAACACTGGGGACAATAGCATGAGCACCACTGCAGGAACAGCACCGGAACTCAATGTGGACATTCCTTGATTCTGTGTTCAGGCTTTGAGCTTTTTTTTTTTTTTTTTTGCGCCAAGGATTGCACTTTTAGTAATGCATTTATGTAATTTGCTATGCTACACTGCAGTGAGTATTGTCTAAAATAACCATTGTTAGGAATGGTTAGGAAAGAACAGAGCAGTAGATTAAAGTGAAAAACTGGAGCATGTTTTTAATCATGTCAATAGGATCCAAGATTTGGACTCTGAGGAGATCTACAGCCTTAACATTTTGATCTCACTCAACGAAATTACTCCTTTTGGATTCTTTGGTTTTGCTTGTGCCTGTTGGAGTACTATTAGCAGTGGCCTCCAATCAGCCTAGGGACAGCAGAGTCCTAGCCACTGCAATGGCTCCTCAATATCACCTTCACAACATGACTCTTTCAATGCAAATCAACACACAATGGAAAATAATAAATAGTAATTGTAAATAGCCCAATTAATGCTGTCTAAATTCTAAAACATTTAACCTGTCATGCTGTGGTGCCTTGCCTGCTGGTCTGACATATAAGGGTCTAATCTGTGTCTTCCTCTCCGTGTCCACCAGAGCCCATGCTGCTTTCCAACCTGGAGTTGAACGACGACAGCGCATCCATGTCCATCGACTTCTCCCACCTCACCATGTTGCCTCACCTTGCTGATCTTGTCAGCTACAGCATCCAGAAAGTTATTGGATTTGCTAAAATGATTCCAGGGTTCAGGTAGGGGAATTTAAAAGTAGCTTCAAAACCCTTGTCTGCTTTTTTTCCTTAGAGGTGTGTATCTGTGTCTGATTTTGTCATGCTTAAATAAATATATACCTCAACGCACAACACCACAGATCTCTCAAGAAGATTTCAGAAATCTGCAAAGGCACATCAAAAGGAACAGCAAGATAAAACGGGTCACCTTAAAAACCAAATAAAATCTTGACACAAGCCATATAGATACATACTATCATTCCTCAGTCGAACTGAAGTCCTACTACCTTCAGAACAGCTCTGTCTTTTTTAAGCTTTGCAATCCATTAACAGCTGTTTCCTTGGGAGGTGACAGGAGGGTTCTCTCTCAACCTGTTGCTGTAGAGGCCAGGGCTAGCATGCCACCTTAGTGCTGGTAGAGACCTCAAACAAGGCATCTCTTATTTAAGCCATCTTCAGTAAGAGCAAAGAGACGGGGAAGAGTGTCGTATGTGTATATGCACATACATGCTTGCAGAGTACCACTCTGTGGCCAGAGGTTTGGTTTCCTGCTTTTGTGAATGAGTAAAACAGTTGGTGAGAAAGTTAAATCTGCTTTGCAGAGCTCTACCTGCTGCAAAAGTTCTGCCTAGAACCTTGTGGGTTTATTTTAGAGGTTTTTGTGATTCATTTTGTTTTGCGGCCTCACAAGGTTTGTATCAGGATTCCAGGAAACACTCATCACTCTGGCATGCCCCAAAGAAACTTTCTTTAATCAAATACACACCATCGCACAGCCCAGTTGTGACCGGCTTTTAATTCAGTGTGTGAACTGCGTTGCTAAAACATTAAGTTAAGTGACACATTAAAGTTCTGTCAGAAACGTCTGACCTGTGGGCCCCTGATTCATACAGATATGCTATCACTTGAGGCTACAGGGAGCTGTAAGCAAAAATGTCTGCAATCCGCTTAGAATTTGTCATTGGTTAACTGAGCTTATGATTGGGGATGGCCTTCCAAGCTGTTCTGTAAAATCAGTTCACACTAAGAGAAATAATAACATGGCGGGCAATAAAGGATAATCATTTCTAATTCTGATCTTAGAGAATGTTATGATGATGGATCGCTTGAAATCTTGAGTTGCATATTCTTCCCTTTTTTTAAATACAGAAGTCTAACAGCGGAGGACCAGATTGCTCTCCTGAAATCCAGTGCCATTGAGGTGATAATGCTCCGTTCCAATCAGTCATTTTCCCTGGAGGATATGTCCTGGACTTGCGGCAGCAATGACTTCAAATACCAAATCAATGATGTCACTCAAGGTATGGTTTGTATGGTAAATAATAATAATAATAATAATAATAATAATAATAATAATAATAATATAAAAATAAAAATAATAAAGTTGGAAGGGACCTTGGAGGCCATCTAGTCCAACCCCCTGCCCAGGCAGGAAGCCCTATACCAGTGGTGGCGAACCTATGGCACGGGTGCCAGAGGTGGCACTCGGAGCCCTCTCTGAGGGCACACGTGCCGTTGCCCCAGCCTTGCCTCTGCCCACGACCCCCTCACCAGCAGCCTCCCTGGAAGAAAGTCGCCCCTGAACGTGGCCCACGCAGAGCAGCGCAGCCAAGGACATGGCAGCCAGGCAGCGTAGACAAGACTTTGCCCTCACACCCCAACGCGCACAGTTGATGCAGCGGGGCGTGGGCAGAGGGTGTGGCCGCCGTGGCGCTGCTGGGCTATCTGCGGCGGGCCCTGGAGGCGGTGAGAGGCCCTGTGGGCAGGCAGGGTGGGGCGGAGCGGGGGCAGGGGCGGAGCAGGGGTGGAGCAGGGGCAGGGCCAGTTTTTGGGCACTCGGTCTCTAAAAGGTTCGCCATCACTGCCCTATCCCCTTTCGAACAAATGGCTGTCCAGTCTCTTCTTAAAAACTTCTAGAAGATAGCCCTGGAGCAGTCACCTCATGGAGCTCTGTTTTCCTTTAATACTTGTAAATACCTCTTAAGATGTATAGAAAATGTATCCCAAACTTACACAAGGTTGAACCAAATTACAGTGGCATACAGTATTTTATGAATTACTTTACAGCTGGTAATATTAGAATGAATTAATGACAGTGGTGTATCCGAGAATGAGAATTGTATTTACCATTTGTTTAACAATTTACAGCCTATTTATAGCATAATGAATAATGAAAAATATACTGACTTACTCCTTGGCAGTTAATCCTGATTTGCCGTCTGCTTTGTGTGGCATAGGGTTTTGTGCAGTACCATGTGATTGCAGCAGGTACGACTGACACGCCCTTCTTACACCATCACCATTGTTACATTGCGTGCCCTTAGAAATAACTCCCAAATTTCCTTGGAAGTGTTTCAGGAGGCCCCAAAACACCGATCACAAGAGCTCCCTGTAGCTTAGACATGTCAAACACAAGGCCCGGGGGCCAGATGCTGCACGCGAAGTGGTTTCATGAGGCCCACAAAGCCATCCTGGAAACAATGAGGGAACAGCCCCCGCTACCTTGGCCCTGGCCCAGGTCGGCTGGGAGCCAATGTACAATTTTGTGGCGGCCATCTATGCTGAAACGCATTCAGTCTTAGCTCCACAAGGCCGTCTAGAAACAGCTGTGTCAGCCCTGCCCTCTGGGTGCATGGTGGAGAAGTGTCACCCTTTGTGAGGAATGAAGAAATGAACCATGCCTTGGCACTTGCCCCAGTCCCACCCACTGCTGCCAGAGACCCTCAGATCTGTCCCACTCCTGTCCTGGCCCCCACAGTCACCCTTGACGCGAACGATGTAGAGCTGGCCACACCCACCCAGTAGGCCACACCTACTCCATCCATGCCCACCCAGTAGGCCGCACCCACCCGGCCCCCCTGAGGGCAACCACTATGCTGATGCAGCCCTCAGTGAAATAGGGTTTGACACTCCCTGCTGTAGCTTGCCAACGGGGTGTGTGCAAAATGCATCTTCCCAGGGAATTTGTCCTGGTCTCCACACAGCTGCCGCAAAGGAAGCTTGTAGTGTTTTCCTCAACAAAAGGAAGAGGGGAGGGGAAAGCTGAGGAGCCGCAGGGCAAGGCAAGAGTTCCCAGCTGTGCCACTGCTGGTGACCCTCCTCGGCTTCACCCAAACAGGAAAGTACCTGTCTGGAATACCTGAAAAGAGGCCCAGGTGAGGTGGCTGAAACCTGGTGTATTGGATTTGAAGTTCAGAGAGGAAAAGGGATTTCTTATTTGCCCGTACCCAAAAATCGGGAAGAAAGACATTTGATGGCATGAGCTATAGCTCACAAAAGTTGATGCCTTTTAATAACATGTGTCAGTTAAAAGAGATGCTTCCAGACTCTTTTTTTTTTTTTTTGCTGCACCGCAGAGACTCGGGTGGTACCCAGTAGGGGGGAAAAAAGGAAGGCTAGCAAACTTAGAGGAAGGAAGGGCTGTGGGCCAGATAAAATAAAGTTCACTCTGCTACACATGGAAATGTTTCTCCATGTTCTTCCAGTGGAAACGTCGTTCTATCACCATGAAAAATAAATAGGGATGAGGAGGCGGATTGTCCGATGGGCCCAGATTGCTGGGCTGGCAGATGTTTCCCCGAAGTGTGTGAACTTAAGAATTCAGTTTCCATGGCAACCATCTGACTAAGATGGGAAGGAACGGGAAGTTGAAAAAGTAATCACATACGCTGCGCGATTGCACCACCTCAAGGGCGAATCCAGTCCGAGTTAAGTTTGCCAAAGGGCCAGTTTTAATGAAACATGGATGTCATTATTCCGGTGGCCTGGTTCCTTTGGGCATTCCGCTCAGTTTAGGGATGATGACTCAGATGGATGACGCACATAGGATTGGGCGCATTGGAAGGAAAATCCAGGGCCAGGATTTATGCTAACATTGGTTTCGTCCCCTGTTTTAAGCTAGCTGGTAATTAGTAATCTAGTGCCTGCCTTTGAAAAGTTGCTTTGTTTCTGTTTCAGCTGGCCACAGCCTAGACTTACTGGAGCCCCTCGTTAAATTTCAGATTGGTCTGAAGAAACTGAACCTGCATGAAGAAGAACACGTGCTCCTCATGGCCATCTGCATCCTTTCTCCTGGTGAGGAAAAACTTCAGTATCACAGGCTGCATTTCAGCTGTCTTAAAATATTATCAATAAACTATGTTATCATATTTACATGTTCCTGTATTAAAGTCTCGGTATGAAATAACACACACAGTGTGTACACCACCATATATTAAAAAAGCAAAAAATATAAGCATTTTTTTGACCAAATGAATGTGCTGGATGTCCCTCTGTTGTAAGAAATAAGCTACTGAACAAATGACCATCTATAGAATATTACTCTTTGCTATCCCTTCCACAGTGCAAAGTGAAGAGATTATTTTCAAGGAATTTGATCTACCTTGGAGTAATTCTAGATGACCAATGCTTTCCCAGTCCTTTTGAATCTGCTTTATAATAGGCCTTGGCTAGATTAGACTGTTCTGATTGTTTTCAGATACATTCAAACATCAGGATATTCTGAGTTTATAGTGATATCAATACTTGCTGTTTCCAAGCAGAAGTGTTCATCTCCAACCTAACTACTGCATGAACATGTACCAATAACATTTTTATGTGCCATACCTTCATGATATTTCCTTTGTCTCATCCAGCCCACAATTGAAACAATTTAGAGTTACCTTTAGCTATTCTGGTCTTAAACTAGTGTTTTCTCTTTTCTCCCCACATGTTTTGCTGTGGACACTATCTAGCACACTTCATTGGTGATGTACCTGACATGGTTAGGGTAGGATTTTGCCCAGCTGCTGTTGGTCCAGCTGTTCCAGATGTGTCCCCTCTATTCTGGGGCCACTTGATTTACAGGAAAAACTAGAAATCTGGCTTTCACTGAACATCTGCCTAGATAATGTTTATGACCATTTTCCAAAATACTTCTTAGGTCTAATGTAGCCTCCTATGTTGTCAGGTTTAGAGTTCTTCTGAAACAATACTAGGCCTATTTTTAAGCACATTTACCAATATTTTGGAGGAATGCTAGGCCTGTGTTTAAAAACAGGACTAACCCTTTCTCCACTAGATCAGTGGTGAACAGAAATTTAATTTTAATGAAAAAAGAGAGCAGCCTGTACAATCTGTACGTTGCTAGTTCTGTCATCAAAGCGCAGTACAGATTTCTGCTGCTTTTGTTGAAGTCTTAGGTGACTATACTTTTTATTTTATTATTTGTAGGGGGTGGTTTTACCTACACCCTTTTGCCTACTCCATAGATTACTAGAGAGTGTTGCTAGCCACAGCCATTCACACCCACCCCTTTGTGACACTTGTTACTGATGGAATTCATGATTATTGATAGCTGCTTCCCGCCTCACCTTGTGCCCCTTTTCTACCTGTGAAGCAGGCTATGTTTGGAGTGAGCCACTTTCAACCTATTTCACAACAGCGAAAAGCACTGCCTCTTCATCGGTTTGGAGGAAATGGTTCTAAACTGGGAATCGTTTATTTGCTGACATTATTGTATCACTATGCCTTCTTGTCAATACATCTTGTTTTAAAAAAACCTGAGCAACTCTTTCTTGGAAGAATTACTTTTGTTTGAGGTTCCAAATAGCCTGACATATAAGTCAGAGGATGAAAGAGAGAGAGAGAGAGAGAGGTGTGTGTGTGTGTGTGTGTATTCATTCTGAGGTTTTTGCGGGTATTTGTATGTAGGTCTTTGGTTATTCGGGTTTTCTCCCGCATAAAATTGGAAGTGTCTTGGCGACGTTTTGACGAAGTCTCATTCGTCATCTTCAGGCTGGTGTTTTTGGCTTCATGCTTCCAGGAGCAATGTGTGATCGCAGCTGTTTCCTCCCTTTAACTGCCAGTGGGGGTATGAACCGATTGGATGAGAGGTTGGCTGTGTTCTGATTGGATGGAGGTGTGTTCTGATTGGTTAGGAGCTTGGCTGTGCTCTGATTGGCTGTATATATATATGTGTGTGTGTGTGTGTGTGTGTGTGTTCAATGATGCAATCTTCGATCTTCGGGAAGAGTATACTCCAGTTATTTATTGTTAAAACAACATTTAAAAACAATAAAAACAGTTATATACAAGGTTTTAACCTTGTATATAACTGTTAATGTTTTTAAAAGTTGTTTTAACAATAAATAACTCGAGTATATTCTTCCCGGAGATCGAAGATTGCTTCATTGAACAAATATGCCCGGCATTTGTATTTTTACAACTATTAAGGATGTGTGTGTCTGTGTGTGTGTGTGTGTGTGTATAGATGTGTGTGTGTGTGTGTGTGTGTGTGTGTGTGTGTTTGGTTATTCGGGTTTTCTCCCATGTAAAATTGGAAGTGTCTTGGCGATGTTTCGATGAAGTCTCATTCGTCATCTTCAGGCTGGTGCTTTCGGCTTCGTGCTTCTAGGAGCACGAAGAAGCACGAAGCCGAAAGCACCAGCCTGAAGATGACGAATGAGACTTCGTCGAAATGTCGCCAAGACACTTCCAATTTTACGTGGGAGAAAACTCAAATAATCAAAGACCTACATACAAACACCCGCGAAAACCTCAGAAAACATACTGTATATGCCGGCGTATTAGGCGACCCGGCGTATAAGACGACCCCCGTCTTTATAGCCGGGCCGCATTCCTAGAACGTCGTCTTATACGCCGGAAACTACCAGTATTTCCGGCGTATAAGACGACTCGGCGTATAAGACGACCCCCGTCTTTGGCGCCGATTTCAGCGCTCGCGGAAGTCGTCTTATACGCCGGCATTTACGGTACATACATACATACATACATACATACATACATGCATACATACATATATAAAATATCTCCAGGATTAATGTAGCTCTTTTGCATGGCATTAAAGCAGCTGTGGAATTAAAAAACCTATGACCTTCTGGCATTGTGCCAGTGGGAGACTTTCCCCAGATTAAATAGGTAAGGAGCTCTGACATCAGAATACTCTCTAAATACCAGCCAAGCATGGACTTCTCTCCCTCCCTCTCTCTCTCTCTCTCTCTCTCTCCCTAAGGCAGAGATGACTAAACAAAGTGAGCTGACAAGGACTGTGAGTATCAGGAAATCTCTTGCCTAGGCAGTGACTTCTGACAGCACGTGCTATAGTAGACATAGATGAGCAATTGCTTAAAGCCTACATGAAGTAAAGTGAAAAAGTGTGTGGTTAATGCTTTTCTAAAGTGAGTCAATGCAACCCTCAAGTGCACAACCACCGCAAAAAGTACCAGGTCACTTTTTATGACAACAGTTGGGTGATTTCAGAGATCAGGTGAAAAGGGCCCAGGTAACTCTTAAGGTTCCAAATAACTTGAATCTGCATGCTTATGAAAGTAAATCAGATTATAATTGAACATTGTTTTTCATCACGTGAATAGATTGAGAGGTTAAACCTAAGGTGTCGAGATGGAATTGATTGAATCTAAATAGAACGATATGGCTGCCAAATAAGAAAGGGAGGAGTGCATTTCCCCCCTGACAGATTACATCCTTGCCGGATAGACTTCAACTAAATTGAATATATAGTCTGGGGATTCAGCCGATGTCTCTGAATAGAATCTGATTAACTCTTCTAGCAACCTGCCACAGGACGAGTAAAAAGATATTAAATTGGAGTGACTTAAAGAAAAAGCTGCTGTGACCTATTTGTGACAAGAGGGCGGAATAAGAGTGAAAGGATGAAGTAGGCTTAAGGATGGCAAATCACAAAGAGTATAGGGATTTTTGCTGTATTATCTCTGAAGACCTGTTAAAATACCACTCCCCAAGCAGCATATAAAAAGAAGTTAGATGCACAGCCTCTTTTGGAGACCAAGCCTGAGAGTCAGCAGTATTGCTTAATACATTGAGCAGGAATTCATTGACAAAGATCTGGCACTTTTCGAAACTCTGGTAATTCAATTCATTCCTTACACAATGCAGATTGTTAGGAATATTTGCCATTCAATTTGTGTCAAGCGTCTTTCCGACCAATGAAATCTAGAGTGAGGAGATCCAAGGTGCCTCTTTCCAGAAGTGTGTTGGTTCACAATTTAATGGCCAAATGGTTCTGAAATTACGATTCAGGGATATAGAATGCTGATTCATCCCCAAAAAAAAAAAAGGACAAAATATTTGCTGAAAACTTGATTTGTGAGCTTATTTGTTACAAAACGCACTACTAGTGGAGAATTTTGAGCAGAGGAAACTAATTGGCTTGCTAAATAGAGAAAGGTGGCTTGAGAATTTTTGTTAAATATATTTGCTGTGTGTCAGTGTGGGAATTAAACAGTAAACTCATGATTATGATGCTGAAGGAAGCTACTTATTTGTCAGAAACTATATTTGTTGGATGATGTTACAACAGACATTTTATGGCAAGCGGGCCACATCTGTCCCTTTGACCGTCTCTCCCCTGCCTGGGATAGTGGAGGGGTAGTGGTGTGTGTGTGTGTGTGTATGTGTGTGTGTGTGTGTGTGTGTTTACAAGATGCTATAATTTATTAGTGAGGAAATATGCTATTTAACAAAGTTTTGTCCTGTTCGTTGTGCTATGGTCCCTCTTGCATCTGTTTGCATTTGCTGGTTACAATTGAAGAGATGGGAAAAACTGACCTGGAGGATTTGCGATGTGTTAGGACAGTGTTTCCCAAACTTGACAATTTTAAGGCATGTGGACTTCAACTCCCAGAATTCCACAGCCAGCGTTGCTGGCTGTGGAATTCTAGGAGTTGAAGTCCTCATGCCTTAAAATTGTCAAGTTTGGGAAACACTGTGTTAGGAGAATAGTAGGCACAGGCCTGTCTTGAAATTACAGGTCACCAACAGAGAGAGAATTCCCCCTTGTATGAATGCCAGGGTTGTGCTGTCATCTGGAACACCCTTGGCAATACTTTTAGAAATGATAGCACGTGCCACTCTTCTCTATGGGCATCAGTCCTCTTTAATGGATTGAAGGCGTAAGAAAAAAGGCCAGAATAATGGGGGGAAAGTTACAAATTAACTACCTGTAGAATACCAATTGCAATTGCAAAAGAATTCCTTTGTTTGAAAACATCCTTACCTGCACTGCATTCTGAGTTTGCTTGTTTTTATGATTAATATCTGATCAGCATGCATACCTGTTACAAGAGTTAACTATTTCTGATGGAAGCATATTTCTGCTTGACCCAAAATGCTAAGGAAATTAAAGCAACGGCTTAACCATTAAGTGGATGTTTTCTTTTCAAGCAGACACAAGAAAACAGTCATGAACTTCTTCAGGTATCTCAACAGCATCCCCTTTGAGATCTTTTGGTAGAAAATTCCAGAGATTGAGCAAAATCACAACAGTAGTACATTCTTCTACCCCCCAAAAGTTGTGTCTTTCTTTCTGAGCATAACAACATGTTGCAGAGAGTTAGAGATAACAAGATGACAACAGGTTGTGATTGCATAAGCCACGTGAGTTTTATAGATCTGGTCTGTGATTTATGCCAAACTTCAGTTTTATTTTTAATGCAAAAACATCTTTAAAAGGTTCGAGCTGTCTCACAGTTGAAATATTGAAAGAAAAATTCTGCCTCTCTTCCAACAAATTGCTATTTCCATTGCCACTTTATTCTCTTTTTTCAAAACATTGTGTTTTACCTCTGCCACACTGATACCTCGCCTTAAGGTTTTCCAATAACTCTGAATCTTTTTTTTTATGCTTCCTTTTCTGATTTTGACACATGACATGGAATGGATATGTGGATACAAGGGGGAACCCGGAATTATTTTTAAGTGATTGTGAAGGAGTTCAACTTGTGACCCTAGAGTCGGAGGAGAGGAATTAAGGGAATGTACAAAAATACCATTAGGAGAGGGTTGAAATGTCATTGGTGCTATTGCCTACCTCGATCACATAAAAATGTGTGACGTGTTTTGTTTCCTAGACCGCCCTGGCGTTCAGGACACAGCTCTGGTGGAGTCCATCCAGGACCGTCTTTCACAAATCCTGCAGACCTACATTCTTTGCCGACACCCTCCTCCAGGCAACCGCTTGCTCTATCCCAAGATGATCCAAAAGCTCACAGACTTGAGGAGCCTGAATGAGGAGCATTCCAAGCAATATCGCTGCCTCTCCTTCCAGCCCGAACATAGCATGCAGCTCACTCCGCTGGTCCTTGAAGTCTTTGGCAATGAAATCTCCTGAGTCACCACTGAGGGAAAAAAGCACATGGAAATCAAGAGTCCCGGGGGGGGGGGTATCAGCCCAGCTTTCCACGTGCTACAGACTGAAAGTTTTTACCCCACGTGAGGTTGTGTATATTCTGTCAGTGAGAAATTGATTTCTTCTCTCCCCTTCCCCCCCACGCTACCTGCAGAGCCACACTTGTGATATACGTCTCCAGTCTCTTGCTGAGGAGCAACTGATTCATCTTATTCCACCTGCCCTTCAAAACTGGATGGTTTCTCTGTTGCTGCTTTGCAGTAATGAAAGGAAATGTTGCTTTTCAAGCCAGCAGTTGAAACCTCTGTAGCGTGGCCTTAGAAAGACACCAATTGTGCAAGAGCACCCACAGAGAATGAGTGGAATGAAAAATGGAACCTGGGTATATTCTCTTTTCTATAGGATAGTAAAAGCTTTCAGTCTGGTACAATTGTAATACACAGAGATATCAAAGTGCTCGTATTTATTGAATATAATGCACTTCTTATCATTTCCTGCCAAATATCAACAGGTCACTTCAACAGCAAGATGGGCAGCACATCAGTTTAATGAATAAATTTAGTTAATAAATAAGATGCTTCAACAGCAGTAAAAAAAATCTATTTATTAGCCAAATGAAGAAAGATTTGTTAGAATAAATAACCATCTTGGGTTTGGTGTTTTTTTTTTAATGCAATTTGTCAAATGCATAGAAATAGGCTAGCACTTTTTTAGCCCTTAATAATCTATAATAGGAACTGAAAGACTTTGGTTCTAATCATGTGCTCCTCAGTGGGGAATACAGACACGTTCTTAAAAACCAGGTTCCTGCCAGAATCTCTGCACTATTAAAATGATGGTCATCTTTGCCGCTTCCAGCCTTAAACAGTGTCTGACACTACTAATTACTAAGAGTTGATGAGGAATAATCCAGAAGTATAATACTGACTTTTAGTCTACCCAAGAATGCTTGGTTTGTTCAGAAAAATGGTATGGTATCACTTTTTAATGGATTGTAGAAAGGATTCCTATGATCAGATTAAATTGCATACAAAGCAGCTTAATTATCTGATGGAGAATAAGCAATTTTCAATTGTTTCCATTTTGGGGCTATAATGTTTGAGTCAGTTCTTAGCCATTCTCAGGAGACTGAAACTAATTTATTTTTTATACTGGTAAAATGTTTACTCTAAGTTTGACAACCTCTGGGCTACTTGATTTCTAGAAAAATTAAGTACATATGAGCCATTTGTTGACAAGGAAAAGATCTTGTCATCAGTCATGACTTTGCCAAGAGCATGTGTGGTTTAGGTAGCTTTTTGTTGCATTGGTCCCAAATAATATGAAATAAGATGTGGACCAATGTCTCTTTGACGAAGGAGTCTACAAACATTTGGGTGAGAGATTTATTAAGACTGCACCATTAAAAGATGGAGTTAACTGTCAGTTTGAAAGAGAAAACATGATTATAGGTAAATGTTCTCCTGCTGAAACTTAGGTAGTAGATTATATTGCCTACTTTAAAGACATATTGAACATTCATCATTGTGTAGTTCTGTTTGGTTTTAATTCTTGGTGATAACAGCAGTTTGCACTCTATACATCGCTACATATTTTAATATATCAGGTAAAATAACTATTCTGCACAGATAGGAACAGATTAGATAAGCGTTTTTTTTTTTTAAAAAAAAAAGATTGTGCTGGTTAGATTTTACAGACGATATAAGAAGATAAGAGCTAGAGATTTCCCATTTGGATTGAAATCTGCCCTTTGCTCACTAGGTGTCAGTAGGGTAATAGACTAGACTGTAATTCTTGTGAAAGCGCCTTGAGTTTGCTGCAAAGCAATTTTATCTTTTTCTAGAATGATTAGATTGTTTTACTCTGAAATTAGCCTAAATTACTAGGATTGGAAGATTCCATCAAAGCCTTAACTTCCTTCTGTACGTCTCTGAGAGTTGGCACAAAGGCAGCCCACCCACATGCAACAAGTCCCTGTGGTTGGATGTGTGTGAGCATATGCCTGTAGTTGCCCCTCCTGCAGCTAGCTCCTTTTGCAGGGACACACATTAAAGCTAGAACCAGAAAGCTTGAACCTTTGCAACCCAGAAATACATTGGACTTTCACATTATCCAAGCTAACCATTTTAGATACAGCATCTCCATTTTAAAACCTTGCTCCTTCGAACTGCAGAAATGCATCATCACTTCAATGAACCCTCCTTAGCTTTGATCATTTGAATGAGCTTTTTAATTAATATTTGTACTCCATCTCAGCATCTAAACTGATAAACAGTTTTAAAGATAGGATTGAGTTCATGTTTCCACCATATGCTTGAGTCAAGAACACTTTTAAAAGTCAAACTCACCTCAGCAAATACATAGTAGAGTCACAGAAGGGAGTTGGGGCAAATTTAAGCTCATTGGTGGTATCAAGTATCGAAAGAGACTTTTAGAAGAAAATTCAGGTACCCAATATGGAATGCACAGTATACACATTGTTAATTTGTCTGCCATTTAAAATGCTGCTAGAACATAAGCACGCTAATTTGCTATAGGGGGTGTTTGTTTCTGTATCTTAGACATTTCTGTCATTTTTTTCATGGTTAGATCAATAACAAGATCCTACATGTGTTGCAGTCATGGATATAAGATTTGGGATCCATCCCATATCAGGAAATAATCTCCATGCCAAAGAGGGGAGGAGGAGGAAGAGAAGAATAGTTAAAGCTTTTCTGCCTAGGAGAGGAGTGGAACTAATCAGCCTCTCAAATTCTGTGCGCTCAACTGAATACAGCAGTCAAGTTACTATGGTGAGGCAGGCTATTTAGTGTAGGCTGAAAATATTTCATGTGAATTCGTTTTGGAGGCTTTAATATCAGTGACATTTGAATCAAAGCTGCTCTGTTCTGAAAGACATTAGGGCTCTTTTTCCACCTCTGCATGTAAAAGCCAAACCTGTACAGTTAAGAGTAGAGAAGGGTAGCTTACTAGATGAGAAACACAAATCACCTCCATTTTGTTGCCTTATGTTATAAATTGTCATGCACTTTATCAAAATCAATATAATGATTTAAAGAGATAAATATATATTTTAATTACAGTGATGAAGGTGGTGGTGGTGATGATGATGAATGATGCAAACCTAGAGATGAATGCTATCTTTTTATTCCTCTGTACATCTTTTGGCTTTTTTTCTAACAAAGATCTAATATTTAAATATACTATTCCAGACCTTTAATAATAAAGAATGATTGAATACTGTTTTGCAGTTTTAAATGTGATGCTTGGTCTTATTAATAAAAAATGGAGAAAATCTTTTGAGTGATTGATATGTTTCCTCAGGAACATATCATTAAGTGCCCTAGGATTTATTCCCGTTTAACACTGATATCAACCTTTCTCTCAAAGGGGAAAAATATAAGGATCGGAGAACTGAAAATTATATCCAGTGCTTTTTTCCTTAAAAAAAAAAAAAGGTGCCAGAACTGACATACATCATACAACCCGCCTTGCCTACCCTACAAGGTTCCATCCAAAAAAGGTGCCGGAACTCCGTTCTGGGCGTTCTATGAGAAAAAAAGCCCTGATTGTATCAGTTGGGACCATAAAAACTTCCTAAAATACATATGTGCATAACTACTGATGCAGTTGCTTTAAAATTTTAGTGGTGCAACATAAACTGATTCTAAATATTAACTAATATGAGGAATAAGATGGCACCTTGAAGTTAATGGGCCCAGCTCTCCAGGACTAGATGTCAAGATTCCATGCCTCTCGCTGCCACTTCACTCCCTTTATGAAACACTGCAGGAAGTAATTTGGAGATCTGTGTGAAGCATCGGCTTTATCCTCACATCCTGCTGCCCATAGCGTGAAGATGCTCCACTAATCATTTTTAAAGAATATTTCCACATACATTTACTTCATCTTTTGCCAGAGGCAGCTTAAATTCATCTTTCAGCTGTTCCAGTTTTTCAAGGAGTCCTTGTAGTCTTGCCGCCTACAGAATTTACAATGCCTCACGGGTAGTGAATTGATGACAGTCAAAGGCTTGAATATGCCCAACTCCTTCAGACATCTCCTCCTCCTCCTCGAATGCTGGCCAATGCTCTCTGTGACCCTTTTAGCTCGATGTGGGTAAACTTGTGCAGGTTAGCTATAAATCCCAATATGCATGTATTTTCCTATAAGCAACATTAGAAATTCTGCCCAAAGCAGTCCAGCAAGTGGAATTCATGACCTTGTGATAGTGGCAAATATCTGTAGCTCAGGTGTAGGATGAGGGTGAAGGTTCGTTCTCCAAGCTCGTGGGTTGGTTTCCGAACCTTTTGTTACCAGGCTAGGTAACATCTTCAGAGGAGTTTAGGGATCCCCTAAAAACTGCTGAAGATGTTACCTAGTATAGGAAGTCAGCCCCCCCCCCCAGAGAAGGAAATATTAAAAGGCAGAAAAATATATTTCCTCAAAGGATCTTAAAGAGGCAGAAAAGCATGTCCAGTTTTCTTAATAGCCCCAGGTTTCCCTTCCCCAAGCAGAAACCAGCTCTGTAGAAATGCAGATGTAAATAATACAGGAACGTTGGAGGCCCCCAGCTAGAAGATTAAGAAGACAAAGACACCTAAAATCTACATACCCCACCCAAACTCTAAGACCAGACATAATAGGATTAACCCACAGATGCCAAAGGGACACAGGTCAGAATATATGACACAGGAAATACAAAGCCTCAAACAGGAACTGGAAACAACTCCAAACAAAAGCCCCAGATGGTATAAAAACCCATTCCCTGCATGTGCTTGCTTTCTTTTCTTCCAGAGCCATCTTTCTGTCTGGCTCTCCTCTTCAATAAATTGCAACCTTCTTTCTAAAGCAGTTGCCATGTTGTTTATTCCCAGCTTGGACTGAACCACAATGAAGACTTTTCCTTCAACACTAGCCGGGTAACAAATGAAAGCATTTAGCACAGAAACGCCAGCTAGCCAGTTCACAACAAGCACTTGAGAAGCATTATTAGCATTAAGCACTGGGAACCAAAGTTCTTTGGATGATGGTTTTGTAAAAAAAAAACAATTTGGTTATACAATTCTATGTCCCCTTTTGTTTAGATTATTACTGTGTTGGGGAACATCACTCGTAAGGAAAACATTCAGAGGAAGTACGATCTAATTTAAATACCATTATTAAATATATTAATATGCATCAATATTAACCCTACTTATAGGCTTAACTTTATCAATCACACCTTGACTGCAATGGTTCTGCTCCTTGAAAGCTAATGGTCTCGGGTGTAAGGGTCCTCCCAAAAGGGGCATCAAATGAGGGGTGTGGGGGTATTAAAGACTCATACACTTTTTAAATATTTTCACTGGCTTCGATGACTTTTTAAAAACATTTTTTTTATTTTTTATTCACTTGCTCAGGGCAACCAGGAGAGTACTTCCTCAAAACATCCCTATGAAATAAATTGGGCTGTCTATCGCCAATAATACTTTATACAGACTTTTCTCTTGAAAAGTAGCTTTTTTTTTTTTAAGGAACAACTTATATATTGTGTACTTTTATTCCGCAGTTTTTCACCCAAGAAACGACTTTTGCCGCCCTGCTCCCTCCTATCGTAGGTCCGTACCCAACCCGGCTTACGCGCAAAAACGCAAATTGGGTCCTAAATAGTCTCATTTTCGTTTACAAGAAATTAAAAGAGGTTGCCGGAGGCGTGTAGGGATTGCACAACGTCAGCAGGATTTCTTCTTCCCATTGAAAGGATATTGTCTCACGAGAAAAGTGTTTGGTGGAGAAGAAAAATCACGCGCCCCAACACACAGGAATACGGTAGAAGAGCCGCAGTCACTCTGGCGGCGGAAATCAGCCTCCGGGGTCCGGACAACCATTGTTATGCGCATGCTCCGTCTCTTCGCTTGGGCTCCTCGTGTGACTCGGAACCTTATGCCGGGCCCAAAGCGCTCGCGCCCGCCCCGCATCGGCACCCATGGGGGCACCTTTCACTGCGACGAGGCGCTCGCATGCTTCCTCTTGAGGCTGCTTCCCTCATACCAGGTAGGTAGTCCCGCTGCATAGGTACAAAGCAGCCCCAGCAAGCCGGTGCAATCGGATTACCTCTCCAGAACAGCCTCTTTCTGTGTCTTCCCCGATGTGTTGGGTGCCCCGTCGGCATTTATTTTGCATGCATTTTTGGACTACGATGGGGGAATCAGCCGGCGTGGCCAATAAGCATTGTGGGAATTGTAGTCCAAACATGGAGGGCACGCGCCGTCTTCTTCTACATTATGTGAGATTAAATTAAGAAATCTTTTCTTTTCCTTTGGGGTGTGCAGAGATTGTGCTTTTTCAGATCCCATCAGGCAAGCACAACTTGCTAGCTTTCTTGTCTTTTGGAGAGGCTTCACGTACCATAGCATCTTTCCGGTTATTTTCAGTAATTGCATGGCTGTAGGTGTAAAAGTAGTTAGATCTTCTGGACTTCAACTTCAGCATGGCTGGCTGGGAGTTAAAGTCCACACAAGTTGCCAAGATTGGACAACCATGGGTTAAAGTTACTCTTCCTCCTCCTTGATCCTGGTATGAGTGGAATCCCTGTCTCTTGGGAGTTACAAACAGAAAACAATTACTTTTCAGAAGCTGCAAATTCAGCTGCAAATGTTTGCAGACTTGCTACATTATAAATCATTGGCATTTTTACTCCACTCTTAGTTCTGCATCTGTAGTTACAACTATGACCCAGTTGCCCTAGATTTCTGAGATTTCATTAAATATCCACGTTTTCAACACTGCTTTTATAGTTATAAGAAACAGAAGCTGGTATGATTTTTAAAAAGGCAAGTTTTTACTGTTGCTGATTTCTTTCTCTAATATAAATTTGTATGTTAGAATATGAGAGGGTGTAACACGTGCCTCATCATGTACATAATATTTCAGTATCTTTCATACCCACAATAAAAGATAATCTGAGGAAAAGTATTACTGGGACTTTTGGGCGATCTCATCTAATAATGGGTTTTGCATATTCCAGTAACCTTTATGTCTCATCAGTTTAACAAGGATCATAATCTAACAAAACACTTTAATCCCAGCCAGCTCCTTCTGGAATTTCTGAAACATAAAACAGGAAAAATAGATTTTAATTTATAATCATTTTTTTTTTAAATTAAAAGTTTTATAAATTTTACAAAAAAGAAAAAAGAATACAAAACAAGAGACAACATATACAAAAAAATAAAACTAAACAATACATATATAAAAAAAAAAAAACCCACCCCTCCCAAAAAACCCCCCCTCCCTTCCCCCCCCCTGAGCTTCCCAGAGCAGAATATAGGCTTAAAAAGTAAAAATAAAAATTAAATTAAGAACTTTATATTTATATATATAAAAAAATTATCTATAATATATATAAAAATAAAACTTATGAAAAAACTATATAATATTTTTGTATACCCAATCTAAATTGTATAAATTTTATCCATTTATCCCAAACAGCAAAAAACTTCTCTTGCGTTTGTTGCTTTAAGAAAGCCGAGATCTTTGCCATTTCCGCCAGATAAGCTACTTTAAGAAACCATTCCTGCAATGTAGGCAAGGATTCCTTCTTCCAATATTGTCCTACTAACAGCCTAGCGGCTGTAATCAAATTTAACATCAATACAACCTCCTTTGTATCACAATCTGTAACAATACCTAACAAAAATAATTGCGGAGTAAATTTTACCCTCCTTCTAAAAATTCTCTGGATATTCCACCATACTTTGATCCAAAATGCTTTTATCTCTCTGCATGACCACCAAATATGATAATAGGAAGCCTCCTTATAACCACATCTCCAACATTTGGGTTGCACGTCAGGGTACATATAAGACATTTTTTGTGGATCAAGGTGCCATCTATAAAACATTTTATAAAAATTCTCCCTTAAGTTCTGTGCTTGTGTAAATTTGACATTTCTCACCCAAATATTTTCCCAGGTGTCCAATGAGACTGGCTCACCAAAATTCTGCGCCCATCTTATCATACAATCTTTAATTAGTTCCGTTTCTGAATCCAATTCAACTAAAACCGCATAAATTCTCTTAATGTGGGTTTGTCTTGAATCCTTCACTTGCTTAATAAGATTTTCATCTTCTCTAAGAAAACCCACCTTACAATCCATCTTCCATCTGTCTAGTAATTGCCTATATTGGAACCAAGAATAAATAAAGTTTTCTTGTGCTAACTCTTCCCGTGATTTTAATTGCCAGTTTTGTCCATCCCATTTAA